CTGGGGGAGAGAGGGGAAAAGTGAGGGGAAAAGAAGAGGGTGGAAAAGGGGTGATGGGAGAGGGAAGGGTGGGAGTTAAAAGAGGGAAGGATGAGGGGAAAGAGAGGGGGAAAGAATGGGGAAGGGGGAGGGGGAGGATGGGAAAAGTGAGGGGAAGAGGGGAGGGGGGGTGGAAAAGGGAAAGAGTGGGTGAGGGGAGGGGAGGCAGAGTGGGTGAGGGGAGGGGAGGCAGAGTGGGTGAGGGGAGGGGAGGCAGAGTGGGTGAGGGGAGGGGAGGCAGAGTAGGTGAGGGGAGGGGAGGCAGAGTGGGTGAGGGGAGGGGAGGCAGAGTGGGTGAGGGGAGGGGAGGCAGAGTGGGTGAGGGGAGGGGAGGCAGAGTGGGTGAGGGGAGGGGTGGCAGAGTGGGTGAGGGGAGGGAGGCAGAGTGGAGGGAGGGTGGGGAAGTGAGGGGCAAAAGGGGAAAAGAAAGAGGAAACGATAAGGGGAAAAGAGAGGGGAACAATAGGGTGAAAAGAGGGGGAAAAGAGGGGGAATAAGGGAGAAGAGGGGGAGGTGGAAAAGGGAAAAGAGAGGGGGAGTTTTTTGTATCTAAATCAGTGTATATATGTATGTTTCATTCATATTTATGGATAATGTTCATGTAAAATGTATTAGTATGCGTATATGTATGATTTTCTGTAAACATATATGAGAAAATCATGAATGTATACACAGAATCGCACCGTACCCATTCGTAATAAAGTGATTTTTTTTACAGGAATAACCCTCGCTTATAGCATATCATTTTTTTCCCTACTAAAGACAAATTTCTCCACACACAAGATTTATTTCGGTATTTTACTTAGTAATAAGAGACCGCATATAACTGCACATATCTGCGGGATTTGACTTGATATACAAACACTACAGGAAGGCTAATCTCTATGGTAGCTAATCACGAGCCGAGGGCAAAATCCTCTCTCTCTCTCTCTCTGTATCTTCCTCTCTCTCTCTCTCCATCTATCTATCTATATATTTATATCTGTGTGTGGATATCCCTCTCTTTCTTCCTCTCTCTCTCTCTCTCTCTGTATCTTTCTCTCTCTCTCTCTCCATCTATCTATCTATATATTTATATCTGTGTGTGGATATCCCTCTCTCTTTCTTCCTCTTTCTGTCTCTCTCTCTCTCTCTCTCTCTCTCTCTCTCTCTCTCTCTCTCTCTCTCTCTCTCTCTCTCTCTCTCTCTCTCTCTCTCTCTCTCTGTATCTTTCTCTCTCTCTCTCTCTCCATCCATCTATCTATATATCTATATATGCGTGTGAATATCCCTCTCTCTTTCTTCCTCTCTCTGTCTCTCTCTCTCTCTCTCTTTCTCTCTCTCTCTGGGTCTCTCTCTCTTCTCTCTCTCTCTCTCTCTGTATCTTTCTCTCTCTCTCTCTCCATCCATCTATCTATATGGATATCCCTCTCTCTTTCTTCCTCTCTCTGTCTCTCTCTCTCACTTTCTTTTTCTTCCTCTTTCTGTCTCTCTCTCTCTCTTTCTCTTTTTCTCCTTCTCAATGGGTCTCTCTCTCTCTCTCTCTCTCTCTCTCTCTCTTTCTCACTCTCTCTCTCTCTCTCTCTCTCTCTCTCTCTCTCTCTCTCTCTCTCTCTCTCTCTCTCTCTCTCTCTCTCTATCTCATTTTTTATATATATTTTATTTTTTGTATATCTCATGCTTATGGCTCCGTCCCCAAACATTCAAAGCTGAGGTTATAGAAGCTCATTAGACTGTTTTATAGCTGCTTGTGAAAAGCGATTAGCCAATCACCTGATATTATTCGTGACTCGTAAAAACTTTTGCCAGTAATTATCCTTTTATTTAGCTCCCCCTCTCCCCCTCTATCCTCTCTCTCTCTCTCTCTTTCTCTCTCCCTCCCTCTCTCTCTCTCTCTCCTTCTTTCCTCACTTTTTCTCTCTCTCCTCTCCTCTCTCTCTCACCCCCAGTCTCTCTCTTTCTCTCTTTCTCTCTCTCTCTCTCTCTCTCTCTCTCTCTCTATATATATATATATATATATATATATACATTTATATCTCTATCTATTTATATATCTATCTGTCTACTTATATCTCTATCTATCTCTTTCTCTTATTTTGCTGTTACTAATCTTAAAAAACATTATAAAAATTATAATGTTTATAATAAAAATAACACTATTGATATTCATGGCTCTAGTGAAAAATACGTATTCAAATCAGGCATTAACAGAGCCATCTATGGGCAGACCCTTCACAAAAAAATATAGAAAATAGGCTCAGCATTTTCCCCATTTTTTGTTCATATTCCCCGGCGGCAATGGGTTAAAATCAGTTTTTACTTCATTGCTCCATACCCCTCCCCATACCACTCCCACTCTCTAATCTCTATTCTCCAGTCACTAAGGTTAAAAGTTAAAGATAATGCTAAAATACAGATAGAAAGTGTATGTAATATTTTATTATTTTTTCTTTTGTCTTTGTATAACCGTATATTTGAGTATTTTATGATACGGCGATACGTTTGATAATATCTTGCAGCACAGATCACCCAGTTAATATATAATCATTCATAATTGTGATTTTAGGAACTTTCTGTAGTATAAATTTTATTGTATTATTATTATCATCATCATTTTGTTAATGTACGTATCTACTACATCAACTTTCATGATTTTTTCTAATGTATGATACTCCTTCCACCTTGATATGTATATAATCAATTGAAAGCTTAAAACAAAACTTAAAAAAAAAATAACGGGAATGGATGTTATCAACTAAATAAAGCTTTTTAACCCGTGTCAGATTACTTTCCTTGATGTCAAGTGTATGATCTATTTTATTTGTTGGAAGTGATCATGCTCGTACATAATGGTAATAACAGTTATAAGTTTGGTATATAATATGGTATGACATGCAACACTTAAATATTCATCCTCGCTTATTTCATGTTTTTATTGTTATCATAAATATTAGTTGTATTTCCTATCATTAGTATTTTTTCGGGTAAGAACAGTAATTCTTTTGTTGATGATAATGACAATGTATTTGTCAGTGTCATGAATAGTTATAGTAGTGGTATTTTTAGCAGCATTCTTAATAAAACTGATACATTAACTATCATCCTTATTATAAAAAGACATAATGAATAATACTTACATTTATCATTATTATAATCATACTGTGCTGTTTTTTTAAATGTGTGTATGTGAATGTATATGTTAAGAATGGCATGTTTTCCCCATACATATCTTAGCTCTGACAGTAAAAAGACTATTTTTAGAGCGTTTGGTAATAACAGTAATCATATACATTATATTTTCGCCGTAGCATTGCTGATGACAAAGATAATTGTATAGTTCTTTGGCAAGACGAGGAAATAACGTGTAAGTATTAGTACATTAAGTGTCAGCCTTATACGGAAATGGTTATTATATCTCATATACATCTAGATATCTATAGTAGATAATTTTGCCATGTTCTGTTATCTGAATCACCATCGAGAATTCCATGAACGTCGTCATTAGCAATAATGATATTTCGTTTTGGCAATTTAGTTTTATTCATGCTTATTTCATCTACCCTGAATAATAGGATATTTGAGGTACTGAAACGCGAAACTCAATTCCGTAGAGTTATGTACTTGTCTACCCCTTACCCCTTCCTCGCTACACAAAAAAAAAACTATATATAGATACTCATATATAGTTTAATATTAGAAACATAAATAATAGTACTATATGCAACGAAGGTGTAGTGAAAGTATAAAGGTTCTTTTGGAATGTAAACTCGAAATTTGAGCTTAAAATACCGGTATTTTGCAGAAAATAATGTGGAAAGTGAAGACAAGTACATTATAAAAGGTAGTGACGATTTAACTAAACCTCATCATGGTAATTATATATGCTTGCCAAATCATTAGTACATATACATAATTTCAAAGTATTCTTATTCATCACGAAATAAAAGAAATGTTGATTTAACAGCGATGTTCAGAGTGTGGTATTTCTATGTAGTATCATGTCAATTATTGGCACTATACCTAACAAAACTATTATCAGTGTGGCCATATGTATTTTCCAATCATATGTTAGTACTATACCCAACAGAACCATGTTAAGTGTAGGTGTATGTACTTTTTTGACATTCTGAAATAATAATTTCATGTAAGATATACATAAATATTTAATACATAAGGCTTTAATATTCTAGTTTATCGTAATAATGGAATGCAGTAATGGCTTCACAAGCACTAAAATCCTGTATAAACTTCGTACTCAGATCAGCACTTTTACAGACGCAAAGCGAGAGAGAGAGAGAGAGAGAGAGAGAGAGAGAGAGAGAGAGAGAGAGAGAGAGAGAGAGAGAGAGAGAGAGAGAGAGAGAGAGAGATTAAGAGTGAGAGTGAGAGAGAAAGAGAGACAGCAAGAGAGAGAGAGATTAAGAGTTAGAGTGAGAGAGAAAAAGAGAGACAGAAAGAGAGAGAGAGATTAAGAGTGAGAGTGAGAGAGAGAGAAAGAAAGAGAGAAAGAGAGAAGTGGACAGATAGAGAGAGACACGAGCGAAGAAACGAATGGGCAGCAGTAGTAGTAATACTGATCACTAGCTACGTCCTCGAATCGATAATAAAAAAAAAACCTTTCTGGACAACTTTTGCTGCTATTACTGTATGTGTCTGCTTACTTCCGTGTAGGTAGTGATACTGTTCGCGTGATTGATGAATTCAGTTTGTACTTGTTTGTTTATACATTTATTTGCTTGTACGATGTATGTGTCTGTTGGCTTATGTGTGTTTGTGTGCGTGCTTTTGTCTGTGTGTGTTTGTATCTTTATGTGTGTTTCTGTGTATTACTGCCCGTGTAAACTTCTATATTTACATATCTATTTGTTTGTTTGCACGTCCAGTATATATTTGTCATTACAATTATGTATTTACATTTATGTGATTTGCCTGTCAACAGTTCTGTCAACACCCTGACAGTACGTTCATCAGCGCCACTATTA